TTAGGGTATTTACGCTTAAAATAACCCTTTTTACCGTAAGCGAAGTATTTAGTATTATTCGATTTCGATCTTTTCTTATCCTTCTGCTAGGATTATTCTTAGCAAGCAGTAAGGCTGCGTAGGAAGTTATATTAGGATAGTTAATATAGGTAGGTGTGATATAATAAAGATACTTAGAAGGGGAAGAAAAGATATAAAGGAAGCTTAGTTCAATTATTATTTGGCTAGGGATTTGATGGATATTTATATCTGATTCTGGTTGCCACTGGTTGTCACCAGTTGCATAGTATTGGTTGCTATTGTATGGTTATGATATAGCTTATGATATCGTTATGATATAGGTGGCTGCTATGTAGTAGCTTATGATATCGTTATGATATAGGTAGCTGCTATGTAGTAGCAGGAGGTAAATTCATGATAAGATTTCTGGCCGAGATATCTGGCCGAGATATCTAGCCGAGATATCTAGCCGTTTTGACCACATCAAATATATCTTATAGGTAGGCCCTTGTAGGCCCTATATCTTAGAATACTCTTCTCGCGTAACTCGTTTTTAAGACGTACTAGATAGTCGGTATCCCCGAATTAGGACTTAGTAACGGAGAAGTTTCTATTAGTAGTCTTACTTAATTTAAGGTTATAATTAGGGAAGCGGACTTATATCGGCTAATATTTCTATTTTATAGGGACCATCGATTTATATTAGAGAAAATAACCTAAGAAGCCTAGTTAGTGTTCGATAGGTCCTTTAATTTCCTATTAGAGTATAAAGGGCCTTACTTATAAATAGTAGTCGCGAAAGTGAGGGTAGTTATATAGATGATTTACGTTTACCTTCCCGCATCTCAGCCTACGTAGTCGAACTTATCTATAGTAAAATACATCACTCCCTCAGTACCTAGGTTATTACCGTATAACCTATTCTAGATTCGTACTATATTTAGAATCCTCTAGTTCTATCAATATTACGGTAAGCTTTTAGGGTAAGAAAGTACTAATTCCAAAAATATATATATTTATCCAGGCCTAGATTCGCCTTCCTAAAAAAATAATTTAGTTATATAGTGGTCGGGTTATAGTAGAGTGCAAGCTCCTCGTAAAAAAGCCTATATAATATATCAGCCGGCATTAGTAGTAAAATAGATTAGATATATATATCGGCGGTAGTTCTCTTGAATATAGTTTTAATTCGAAATACAAACTTAAATATTAAATAAAAGGGACTATTATATAAGAATTTAGAGACGCGACCCCCTAACAGAAAGAGAATAAGGGGCCGTATTTTGTAATGAATATTATACTAAAAATATAGTACTAGTTTGTTATATCAACCTAGCTTTTAGCACAGCCACGGCTGCTTCGAATAGCTACTTATACTTATATTATTAGATTTCTACCCTAGTATCTCTATAATAAGTATATTTCAAGCTAATACCCGATGATCGTACCGATTAAATTAGGTCCGAATATCCAGCGACTTATCATCATCGATTGCTACCCAGCTGCTTTGATCGAATCTTTATGTTAAGGAAATTAGTTTTTCATCACATTGTCCTCATTGAATATCCTCTAAACCTATTTTCAATCACACTATATTTTACTAGTTACCTGGATTCCGGCCCTTGTTCTCAGTAGCAAAGCGAGTGCGGTAATCAATAGTTAGTAGTTAACTACAGTAGTTAGTTAACGTAATTCCCGGCCGACCTGGACACCCGGCCGTCCTGGACACCCCATCAAAAAACGCGTCTTCCTGACCACCCACATAATTCAACCACCTACCATGCTACCAAAACGCACTGAATCAGCGCAGAAATCGGCTAATCAAGAGGGCAAGGTGTTATTAGCCCTTGATGATATTAAAAATAGCCGCATTAACTCTCTCTGCGCTGTAGCGAAGCTATACGAAATACCACTCTCAACACTACATATACGCGCCTACGGCAAAACCTTACGCGTCGATAAACGCCTATCTGGCCATAAATTGACCCAATTGGAAGAAGATGCGCTTACTGAATGGATATTGTCTATAGATTCACGTAGAGCAGCGCCTAGGCCGTCTACTGTGCGAGAAATGGCTAATATTCTATTAGCTATGCGTAGTGACGACCCTCCGGCTATAGTAGGCAAGAATTAGCTATTAAGCTTTATTAACCGACGAGACGAGCTTCGTTTAACCTTCTTACGACGCTACGATTATAAATGCGCCTAAAACGAAGACCTAAAATTACTACGAGCGTAGTTTACGACCGTCTAACGTATTGTAGATGAGAATAGTATCTAACTAGGGGATATCTATAACTTTAACGAGACCGGCTTCGCTATAGGTCTTATATCTACATAACAGGTAGTTATAAGGGCTGAATATTATAGTCGGCGAGCGTTTTTATAACTAGGTAATCGTGAATAGGTTACTGCGGTCGAAGCAATAAGCGGTAATAGCTATTCGCTGCCGCCCTACGTAATATTTAAAGGCAAAAACTTCATCGCTTCTTAGTTCGACGAATAACTCCGTCTTCTAAAAGACTAGTATATCGAGGTCTCGCTAAACGGCTAGACAACCGACGAAATTAGCCTTCGTTAGCTATAAAAGCTCTTTATTCTAGCGACCGTAGCGTATATAAAAGGGGGATATCGGCTATTAATTCTTAATAGCTACGGTAGCTATCTTATACCTCGATTCGACTAAATCTACGCTAAAAACAATATAATACTACTTTATATGCCTCCGTATAGTTCGCATCTCTTACAACCGCTTAATATTAGGTGTTTTGCCCCTTTAAAACGCGTATACGGCCGCTTTATAAGCGATTTATCTCGCTAGTTATATAATACTATCGATAAATTCGACTTCCTTAATAATTACCCCCGGGCGCATAAGAAGGCCTTTTAACTATATATTATTCAAAGTGCTTTCGTAGCTACTAGTCTTGTTCTAATTAACCCTAAACGGGTACTTTTGAAGCTTAATATCTCACTAAAAATACCGTCACCACCGAATAGCCGGCTAACTACCAGCGATAGCTAAATCGGCCTAAAAACACCGAGGACTATCGTCTAAATAGAAAAATCAGCTTCGTTAATCAAAGATCTTTAGAAACAACGATCAAACAGCCCTCCAAGCCTAATACAAACTATTTTCGATTAGCTTATTAAGGGCCATTACGAAGCGCTTTATAATACAGCGCAATTTGCGCATAAAATCGCTAACCTACGCGTAGGTAATGAGAAAATGCGCTAGAAACGCATACGTTCGAATCGACAGATAGCTCACGACGGAGGCTTAACGGTTAAAGAGGGTCAACAGCTAGTTGCGCAGCTAAATCAGCTAGTTGAAGCTGATCAGGTCGTTTCGCATAAGCAGGCCGATGAGGCTATTCAACTAGCTCAGCCAGCAACCAGGGCTCCACCAAGGTGTAGTGGGTGTAGGGGAATTGGCCATAAGATCAATTAATGTAAAAATCGTCAGATATAGCTAAATTGATGCGTTTTGGTTGATATATTTTGATGCAAAAATTTCTAATGGGAGTGGGTGTCCAGGACGGCCGGGTGTCCAGGTCGGCCGGGAATTACGTTAGCTATCCATCTGTATTATTCAGCTAGCTACTAACCTGCTTTAGTTAGCTCCTTGGCAGATCTTTTCTTTTTCTACGCACATCGGTTAGCTTTCTACAATACACACTCTCTTAAACTACTGGCCTATACGTTACTGGGCGATACCTATATTCCTAAGTCCGACAGATATTCATTTAGATTATGCAGTAGTCTTATATATGTTAAACCATCGTGAGTTACGTAGTCAGGCAGCTTCATGTTTACACTTTTTTAACCCCTTTTCCCCTTTACGGGAACCTGAACCTACGGCGGGTTCGACCCTTAAACACCAAACCCGCAATGGGTATCGGGTTCGGGCATAGGTCGAAAGGGGTTCTATCAAAGTCTTCATATCACCGAGTAAGCTATCTATGCCCTTGCCCGCCGGACTGGACTCCAGGAGATAGCCCAACGTCACTAGCTTGCCCATCTATGTTCGGGTTCAAACTCAGCTCACACGAGACAGCCAAGGACTATCTAACCAGCCATTTCCATATCTTACGGCTTATCCCGGACTCTCTCTTTATCATAGCATCGCGGAGAACCGACGGGAGGCCTGTATGAAGCTTTAGGCTTAAGCAAGCCAAAGCTAGCTGATAGCGCGATAAGTAGGCGCAAAGTGCTTTGTAGGTCGCTTCACAGGTGGGTAACGCTCAACCGAGCACGTACGCGTACCGTAGCGCCGCTTTGGCCTTTGACTTGCACTAAGCTTCAAAGCCTTAGAAGAATGTCTTGTAGTTATCTGATAAGGTTTAACTTGCCCCTCTTGACATAGCGGGAAAGAGAAACTGCCCACCACGCAATTCCTCGCAAGAACAAGGAGATAAGATAAGTCTTGCTAACGGCTTTCGGAAGGTGTTAAGCGATCTTTAGCCTTAGGGGTAGCGCCTATATATTAGCTCCAAGCTAGCGTGGACGGCACTTGAGTAGAGGGAAAACAAGCTTCCAAACGGCACATGGTCAAATTATTTTAGTGTGCTCGATGGCTCTTGGGGAAAAAAAGCCCGTTGATAGGCGACAGATTAATTTTCTCGTCACACTGCTTACGCCAAAGGGAATGGTGCTGGTTACAATCGTGAATGGCGCGCATGCACGATGGCCCTTGGAGGAAACGCCTCCTCGATTTTCTTATCACGCTCGTTGCGCCAAAGGAAATAGCGATGGTCGAAACCGTACTCGATGTGTGTGTATGATAGCCCAGCGGAGCTCCCATGGTAGGGCCTATAAATTGCCCATCTCAGCTGCACTTCACTAGCCTGCCTTTCCCTCTCTTTCCATGCGACTTCTGCCTTCCCTCAAGATATAATTACACCGGTAATTAAATCGGTGCAAATCTTTGCAGGGAAGTCAGCCATCAAGTTTATCCTCCGCTGGGCCCTTACTTTGCCACAGCCGAGGAAGCAGCCACCATGGCCTCCCTAAAACCTGACCACGTCAACATGGATGATGACTCGTCAGACGGGATCGTTGATGAGAAAAGTGCCGTGCCGTCCACTATACAAGATGTCGACGAAAAAGTGCACAATTTGGCCGAGAAACTGGTGGCCAATGGTGATGATATGGCACCGATTGACGACATCGAGTACGTGATGGACAAGATCAACACTTTGACTACCGAAGAGTGCAAAGATATCATCCAAAAGCTTCTCAAGTACCATGAGTACGACTATAACTTCTCCAACGCCTTGCGAGAGAAGCTTTCCTCCCTGATTGAGGGACCTTCTGAAGGGCAAGACGCTGAAGAATGGGAGCTACAGCTGAAGACTGAGGCTGCATTGAATCGCTTTTACTCCCCGTACCCTGAGGTGCGTGCCGTTGCTACGCCCACGGACGATCCCGACATTCCTTGCGAGACCATTCGCGCTCACTTGCTCGGCTACATGTGGGCTATTATTGCCCAATTCACCAATTCTTTGTTCAATTCCCGCTATCCGTCCATCACTCTAGGATCTTCTGTGGCACAAATCCTGCTCTATCCATGTGGTCTATTCCTTGCATGGGTTCTCCCGGACTGGGGGTTCATGATGGGCGGCAAGAGAGTTTCTCTCAATCCTGGTCCTTGGACGTACAAAGAACAGATGCTTGCCACCATCATCATCGATGTTGGTCTGACTTCTGCCTATTGCTTCTGGAACATCCAGACCCAGACCGTGTACTACCAGGACAAATGGCTTACCCCGGGCTACGGGATTCTCCTCTTGCTGTCAACCCAGCTCATGGGTCTTGGCTTTTCAGGTCTACTTCGCCGCTTTGTGGTCTACCCAATCGAATCCTTGTGGCCCAACATCCTGCCCACTTTGGCCTTGAACAGAGCGCTACTGGTCCCTGAGAAGAAGGAAGTAATTCACGGCTGGAGTATCTCGCGGTACAAATTTTTCTTCTTGTTCTTTTGCAGCATGTTTGTCTACTTCTGGTTCCCAGACTTCATTTTCCAAGCTCTGAGCTACTTCGGATGGATGACGTGGATCGCACCTAACCACTTCAACCTGAATATGATCACGGGCTCCATGACCGGCCTTGGGTTTAATCCCATCTCGTCATTCGATTGGAACGTGATCTCCGTGTTTTCATACCCGCTCACCTATCCGTTCTTCGCATACACCCAGCAGTTTCTGGGCACGCTTCTTGGTGGTTTCATCATCATCGCATTGTACTGGTCCAACACCAAATGGACAGCGTATCTCCCTCCGAACTCATCTGGCATCTTCGACAACACCGGTAACCCTTATAACATTACGAGGGTGATCAATGGCAATCAAGGAACTCTCAATGAAGAAGCCTACCAGGCGTACTCTCCTGCTTTCTACAGTGCGGGAAATCTGCTCATGTATAGCGCATTCTTCGCCTTCTACCCGCTTACGATGGTATTCATCGTCCTGGATTCTTGGCGACCACTTGTCAAGGCTTCTAAGTCGATGATGCGGGCTGCTATCTCATCCATTAGGGGCCTAATTATAGGCCTCAAGAATGCAACGAAGTCTCTTGCCAAGGGAAATGTGCGTGAGGCTGGTCGACACTTGTACAACATCTTGAATGACGACACCTCGATCTATGACGAGTTCGATGATCCATTCACCAAGCTGATGCGTAATTACCCTGAAGTACCTGACTGGTGGTTCTTGATCATTGCTCTGATCGCGTTCATCTTCACCATCATTATTGTGACTAACTGGCCTCAGCTCGGGGCACCTGTCTGGACGGTCTTTTTTGTGATTGGCCTCAATTTTGTGTTCCTGATCCCCATGTCGTACCTCTACGCAATCTCAGGAACGACGGAGGGGTTGAACGTCGTCACGGAGCTCGTCGTTGGATATGCTCTGCCTGGACACCCAGAAGCACTGATGTTCGTGAAGGCTTTCGGATACAACATTAACGGCCAAGCGGATAACTACATTTCTGACCAGAAGATGGGTTTCTATGCCAAGCTTCCTCCTCGAGCCATGTACCGTGGCCAAGTAATGAGCGCCATCATTACGGCCCTTGTCGCCTATGCAGTTGTGCAATTCGCTGATACTAAGATTCCGGGCATTTGTACTCCGGGCCAGCCTTCCAATTTCAACTGCGAGAACGGCTCACAAATTTACTTCTCAGCATCGGTCGTTTGGGTAAGATATCACCTGTACTGCCTTCAGGCGGATCAGAAAGCTAACATCACTGTAGGGCGCTATCGGTCCGAAAAGAATCTTCAATCAGATGTATCCAACCATGAAATACACATTCCTGCTAGGATTCCTCCTTGCGATCGTGTGGTGGGTTGTCAAGAGGTTTGGATCGCATTTCCGGGACGTGTGCAAGTCTGCATTGCCCGATGGTATTTTCAAGCCGATCAATGCGCTGATTTTCACACCAATTTCGTGGCTCAAGCACGTCCATCCATCGCTCATCTTCAACGGATTCTTGTGGTGGGCACCCATCAACCTCACTTATTTCGTGGGTGGTCTCTACTTCTCTGTTGCCTTCATGTTCTACCTTAGGAGGTACAAGACCGCATGGTGGGAAAAGTACAACTATGTCCTCGCGGCCGCACTCAATGGTGGTGTCGCATTCTCAGGCATCATAATCTTCTTCGCCGTGCAGTATCATCCGAAATTCATCAGCTGGTGGGGTAACAACGTGCTTGGAGCGACGATTGATGGTGGTCTTGGCCAGCAGGCTCTGATCCCTGACCTGCCTGCGAAGGGATACTTCGGCCCCGACTCGTGGTCCTAGGGGAGAGTAAGGACATGAATTGATATAGTCTCGTTTTTCAAGTTAATCCATGCTGTCACTGCTTTATTGGACTTTTAATTGTATTAAAGCACGGATTGAGCTAGTTAGTAGATTTCAATGACGAACTGATTTCATCTCCCAGCCCTTACAACTTAGAGTTGAATTGAATTGGTGAAACTAAAACCGAAGATTTCCAAATCTAACCAGGATCCCCACAATAAAACTTCACTGTGATTTCCAACCCTCAGCCTCGAGTCATGCGAAGGAATGCTGCCAGAAAGAGGGGCAACAATGGTGTCAATTCGGGCGCTAGGCCATCTACCAATCAGCCTACGCAGCCGATAGTTCAATAGGGCCAAACTTGCTAATGTAGTATTTTAGACACCTCAGGTTCAAAATATTGTGCTGGCTTTTTTTGAAAAGAAAAATATGAAAAAAAGGGCACATGACCTAAATCCTGGATCACAGCATCTGAATCCACACCTATTTTTCCTGCTTATTCCTAATCCCCCACATCACTAATATATGGCTGAATAAAATAAAATAAATATAGAGATAATGTAAGTGTAGAATAATGATACGTGGCACTTCATATAATTTAGCGATTTTATCCAATTTATATAAAAAGAAGAAATGGAGGGGTCGTGCATTTCTGCAGCCTAGTTGACTACTTATTTCCACACTGCCCCCAAGGGATGAGATGACGTTTGATTTTTTTTTTGCCGGATAAATCGAATCCAATAATTATCAAACATTATTCTCCATGTCCGCGGGTTTAATGAATTCTGTTTTATATGCTACATTTCAATGATTTTTTGGTGGTTCCAAAGTGCTCTGAATCACCTAAATATGCATTTAAAGCATACTTCAACTATACATTTTAAACAGAGGCTGTTGTTACCTAACTCCGCCACTACTAACCGCCCCTAGTACTAGTACTGTGACCGCTGCCGTGTACTCCTAGCACTGGACTTGTTAGTACCCCTGGCACTAGACTTCTTAAAAACCGGGTACTAGACGCCTTGGTACGGCGCTGCAGAGCTGCACCTTGCCGTCGCGGGGTTTCATCTTTATTTCCATCTCCTTATGCATCTGAGGCCTCATGTTCCGGTAACTACTTGCAGGGTAGAGGAACCGTCGCTCGGATAAGGAGGAACTAGTATAGTCAATTTGAAACAAAGACTGATTCTTAACGGACCAGGAAGATAGGGAAATATAGGACTTTTTATATTGGAGCACGGTTTATGAAACCCTAGTAAGATTGTAGTATTTCGCTATATAGTCGATATATAATATACTAAGGTATATCACATCGATAAAGTAGAATATAGATAATAAAAGAAGCGGTATATGCGGGAAGTATCAAAATGGCATGGAATTGGTAGAGCCTGAGAGAAATACATATTTCCAATGCAAGATGATGCTAGGAAAGCGAACAGAAACACTTCCCAACCAGTAATTTGCTCCATCAAGCTAGAGAGCGTATCGAAAGAAGGGGTTTTGCTTGTCAGTGAGGTCGTCAAAGGCAACCTTGTCCCGTTGCACTTGATCGAACTTCAGTGTATCCCGGGCCCTGTTTTCCCTCCATAAAACAATATATAACGATGTTGCCGCTGCGATCGTGATGCAGTAGCTATGACTTTGTTAGGGACATATCGAGTCTGGGAGAGATAACAAAAACTGACCAGATAATCATCCCAGTCCACAGCTCTGGATAATGCTGAGCTTTTGTGTTACTTTTAACAAGCTGTGGCCCAATGATGTTACCGACTGTATAAGCAACGAAGATGGTGGCGGCCATTACTGTTTTCTTAGTGGCTCCGGCAACGTTACTGGCACCGACCGTAATTATTAGGCTGACAACTGGGCCAAAAAAACCAGTCAGCGCATAGCCGATAACTGGAGTAGCAGGCTGGTATCCCCATTGCGATTTCCAAATCATCACACATCCAGCAATAACTGGAAGACAGCATATAATGAGCATCGGAATTCGCGTGTTGGGAACAACGGTGGGGATGTATCCACATAGGGGAATGAAGATCACACAAACAACGCCAACTGGAAATTGGAAGAGGATGGAGTCCAGGGTATTGTATCCAAAGGTAGAGACAATTAGAGGCCCAAAGCCAGAGATAGCGCCATTGATGGTATACCTATAAAGGTGAGTATGGATGCTGCAAATCTGATCTATGACTGTAGTGCGCTGAAGGAAAACTCACGCTGCGGCCATCATGATAGCTACGAGATAGATCTTAATGTCTGTGAGTGATTCTTTGATCTGCTCAACCTTGATTTTCTGGCATCGGACACCAGTTTGGCCTTTGCGCAACCGCTCCACAGCTACCATTCGCTCCTCAGGGCTCAAGAACCAGGCTGAGACTGGTGAATTCGGGAGTGTGCAGCACCAGAGGCCAAACAAGAATGTCAAAGCGCCGGCAAGAATGTAGATATACTGCCATCTGGCCAGAGAACCGGACGTAATTTGTCCAAAGCCATAATTCAGAGCACCGCCGATAATGGTGAACCAGCCAGTGCCCGAAAACCACCAAGCCTGCCGAAGGGCTTGCTCCTCTTGCGTATAGTAGCCGCTAACGATGGCTACGAAACTAGTCGGAATCACGCTCTCAATAACGCCTGCAACATCGTCAGATAAATGCTCAAGCTCAACCGGCAATATTGAAGAGGTATATACCGAGGAAGAACCGCTGTACAAATAGTCCTCGCCAGGATGTGACACCAGCGGTGGCCGCACAGACAATGGCCCATAGGAGAACGACAGGGCCAAGTACATGCCGGGTATTAAACTTCTGCAGGATGAATGTCATTGGATAAAGCCCAGCCAGCATTCCAAAATAGAAGAGAGACGTCGCCCAACTGAGACGCGATGTATCGACTGACGGCGGAGATGTCGAATAGTCAACTACTATCAGTGACAAGTCGGTCGTCATGCCGAAGAGCGAGGCACTACCAAGTATCGCCTGGTGAGACGTTAAAATTTAATTCAGGTTGAAAACCATCAGGTTTGAGTTTACCTTGTCATAATAGACCATGCCGTAACCTGAATCGACATTTGATCAGACCAGGGCATATCCTGAGAATCGATCGGTTCACTTACCTATCAACATGGCAGGCATAAAATACCAGTCGATTTTTCGCAGCACTTTTTTAGCGACCAGAGGGTCGATCTCTTGGGCCATATCGCTGACTACCGCTAATGCTGCATCCTTCTCGGAGACATGCGTGGTGTCATTGGCAGTGCCAACTCCGTGCTGAAACATTTTCTCGCGGTTTGCAGCCCCGAAAGGCTAGATAGAAACAGAGTAAAAATGATTCAAATAACCCGGAGGGGTTCGTAAAAAAAAATAACAAACACAAATTGACTTTTCGAGACCTTCCTGATTAGGCCATCCGATATCGCGGTATTCACCGCTAAAAGCTCTGGGCAGAATCGGACCACTGTCCGCCGCGCGGGCGGTGGCTGTTCGATCTTCCTCGAGGAATCAGTGACGTCGGAGAGGGTATGATAGCAGTGCGCAGGATGGTAGATCAGGGCTTGTTGTAGGATATGTTACTGACTATTTGATAATTGGTTGAATCTACCTTTAGTTCGGTTTCTGCGACACTGTGGTCTGTCTGATGGGTTAAAGGATCCAACTTTCCCGTATAATAAAAAGGATGATGGGGGAGACTGAGGGGATCGATTGATGGATCCTGGTATTCAATATTCACAATAACAATACCTGACGCCAGCCAGAAAAATCAAGATTGGTTTTAATTTAGATTTCTGCTTTGTTTACGAAAGTATTTATGATTCTGCATGCTCGGCATTTTGTCTCCAGAACGGCGGATATCGCTGTTAGTTCAGATCCAATTTTGACACCCTCGATTCAGCATGGGGCTGTGGGTGTCAGGGTAAGGCTGTTAGCTGCCACTGTATGATCTCACACTTCGGAACATTCACAATTTCGGCCTGTGCTACGAATTTCCCCTTCCCTTCCTAAAATCCACGCGACTGCTAAAAATGCGACCTCTATATATTTATAATGGCTGGTTCTGAGTATTTCTGATCGAAGTTTCATGCCTGGTAGAAAATCAGGATCAAAAAGTGATGATATCAGCAGTGCAGCTAGAGCCGCCCTGGCCGACGAAATTGCATCACAGGTTCATTTGCTCCACATAGAAACTTTATTTGCAAGCAACTGCAGCTCGATGGAGGGGCAGTTTGCAGCATTCGTATCCCTTCTGTGTTAGGTGACGTAGTAGCCGATCAGTCAGCTTTTAAAAGCAGATGGCGTCGCCGTTGCTTCTGAGCTAGAGTCGCAATTGAACAAGTGTCTTCCGAAGTTAATATACTCGTCTTGATTCTATCAATATTAATATCATGCCGATCGAGTTCACAGTGTTCAAGGGGTCCCAGGACGGATCTATTCGGCAAGAAAAGTCCCAGCGCGGCGACCTTGAGCGCGACGACGTACTCATTCGCATCACTCACTCTGGTGTTTGCTTCACTGATGTCCACTATCGACATGCCGACATGGCACTTGGTCACGAAGGCACTGGTGTAGTGGAAAAGACGGGACCTGACGCCAAAACTTTGAAGAAGGGTGACCGTGTGGGTTGGGGGTATGAGCACGATTGCTGTGGTCACTGCCGCCAGTGCCTGACAGGCTGGGAGACTCTGTGCGCGGTGCGCAAAATGTACGCTTTCGCAGACCTTGATCAGGGGTCATTTGGTACTCATGCCGTGTGGCGTGAAGCATTCCTGTTCAAAGTTCCCGATACCATGAAGAACGAGGATGCGGGTCCCCTGATGTGCGGCGGATCCACTGTTTTCAACGCGCTCTATGCCGCACAAGTCCGTCCCACAGCTCGTGTGGGAATTGTTGGAGTTGGAGGATTGGGCCACTTGGCGATTCAGTTCGCCGCCCAGATGGGGTGCCAAGTGGTCGTGTTCTCTGGTACCGACAGCAAGAAAGAAGAGGCAATGAGGTTGGGCGCGACCGAGTTCTATGCGACCAAGGGCGCGAATGAGCTGAAGCTCGAGAAGCCCATCGACAACCTGATTGTGACCACCAGCAGTCAGCCGGACTGGCAGCTTTATTTGAACGTGATGGCACCGAATGGTGTAATCTCCCCACTATCCGTCGACTCAAACGACCTGAAGATTCCGTACATGCCACTTCTGCTGAATGGTCTCCGGATACAGGGTGGGATTGTCTCGGCAAGACAAGTTCACCGGGACATGCTTGAATTTGCTGCCATTCATAATATCAAGCCTGTCAAAATGACATTCCCGATGACTTTGGAAGGAGTCAAGGAGAGTCTCAAGACTCTGGAGGAAGGCAAGATGCGGTACCGTGGTGTGCTGGTGGCAGAAAATTAAAGGAGAGTCGTTTGAGGATTTGGAGGTAAAAGTGGGCAAACTGTCGTATATAGTGGCACCATCGACATGGGGCAAATCTCACAAGTTATAGCAATGATTAGTAGGCCTTTTGATCTCTATCACTCTTCGATTTGAAACTGTGCACGCGAACAAAGCAGTCAGCTTGGCTGTACCTACTAGCCTACCTTCAGAGTTTAGTGGCATTCCGTATGCAGGGAAGGGGGCTGGGGGTGCTAGGTTTAAATCTGGAGTTACTAGACCAGTGATGTCAAATTGAGGACCTTCTTAGATAGTCGATTTGGGCCGACCTATGGCCCACATGGTACGGTAGAGGAGATATGATTCACGTGGCGGCTCGTACACAGCGTGATCTTATTAATGAACATAGTATGGGGTTTGCTCAATCAATGCGTGTCATTTGATGTATTCAGGCTGGCGTTAAAAAAAATAGAAGACACAAGGTAGGCTTAGAGTCGACCTTGAAGAGGAGCAGCGGCTCTTGAATCAACAGCAGGTAGGCGAGGCTCCAGCAACCCCTTTCACGTGTGACTTCTCGGGCAGCCTAAAGTCCTGTCAGGATTTTGACATGCCTACGTATTATGAACGTGTAACTAAAAGGAGATTTATTGCAGTAAACATTTGGCACTAGCACTGGGCAGCATAACAAGCCACTTGATTTGCCCCAAGGCCCCCCTCCGACAAATCCCTGAAGCTATAGCCTATGATTTGATGGTCGTAGCCGTTGGATAACCGCATTAATCGATTGTCGTGCGTCGTTCTGGCTCTGCCAAAAAGGAGGTAACGCCTGTGCAGCTTTAGTAAGTCTTTGCAGACTTTCTATCCCTCAAGTAGCATGGCTACTTGGGACGCTGCTTCCGGTTTGGTTCAAAGACAGATTGAACACCTCGAGGGAGATGAGTCCTTTGTAGCCCGTCGCGAGGACGGCAGCAGCCACAAGCTCGACTGGCATATAGCCCCCACGGGATTGTTCCAAAGGATAAAGCCGATGGCTCCTCGACCAGGGGAGGAGAGCCGGGGTCATGGGGTCACTGGGTGGAATGAACGTCGCCGGGTCCACGAGTTTGGCGTCGCCGCACTGGAAAAAATAAATCCGATCACCTGGGACGGTGAGGGCGAGAGAGATAAGTGACCCGGTAAGAATATCGAGTGATTCTTCCAGAGTGGGATAGATGCGGCCATGCCCGGCTGGGTTATAGGGATCCGCAAACTCAACAGCCAGGATGTTGAACGCATCGATGATCAGTCCCACGTTGGGACGATTGGCGAATCGCACCACCTCCCACGATGCCGACCAAGTGTTTCTCGTCGCCCAGGAGAGACCCTCATACCCGATCGTCAACATTCGCCCGCCATCCTTTCTCGCATATGCAGTGGCCATGTCTCCCAGCTCCGCGAGATCTCGAGCAACGGTCTTAAGATCCGAAGTCACGCCGGCATCGGTGCGGATATTGGCGTACATGAAGACCAGATCGGTGTCAAAAGCTCGCATAAAGGGAAACCGCTTCGCGACCAAATCAAGGGTTGTACGGCGCTCCGTTGGGTCTTTAACGCCCTTAATCTTGCGAAGAGGCTAGGTGCAAGCGGAGCGCATTCCTAACGACTTCACCAGGTCGCCTAGCTGACAGGCAACCTGGAGGTTCTGAGGAGTAGCCTCCCATAGCTGATCTCCTGGGAGCCCGTGCTCCTCTAAATAAGCAGCCCAACACTCGTCGAATAAGTCGATCCATCGATAGCCCGCTTAGGCGGCTGCTTCGAGTCTTGGGGCAAGCCGGTGCTTCCTGCAGTTCCCGAGAGATAGCGTAGCGATGCCGAGTTCATTCTTCCCCAGGGGAGGCCAGGTCGGCGGCATGATTTAAAAATTGAGAACGTTAGAAGAGTGCCGAGGATATTCCTTGCATCCTGGCTGGTAATTGGAGAAGGAAGATGGATGATCGAATACCCGCGAATCCCACTCCACCGGACTCCACCCCCGCAGACCGGCGCCTTATTTTAACATGCCGGAAGTTCTGGCCTTGCCAAGGGATATCATCATCGACCGACTGAAGAACAGGCAGAGTATTGATGCAAAAGACGGTTTCAAAGGTGTTCCATGCACATGGCCATCAAAGAAGAGAAAGCGGAATTGGTGTTGACGCAGACGTCATCAGTCATCTACCTCTTACCGGCACATTTGTACTCATAGCTCCTACCCGGAAACCAGCTCCTCTTGGGTTTTACCTCACGATGTTTAACGGATGGCTATTGCTTTTCTGATCGGTACTGGGCTGTTAGAGCAATCTCCATACATGTCGCCCGCACCCATACTATGGATTCACAGACGTCCCCTGCGGGGATATGCCAACCATATCAACCTTGCCGGTCCTCGAATCTCCACGGAATCTCCACGGAATCTCCCGCAGTTTAAACCGGACCAGGTTTGTCGGCCACAAGAATATCGGTAAACTGGATTCGAGTTGCGAGTTGGACTCGCAGCGGCGGGCTCCGTTCCCCGGTCGCGTCCCCCCACTAATCACATCAGTCAGCTTGGAGATCGTCCTGCCCCGCATTGCTCCTCCCGGTCGCTTCTATCTTTCTTTTTACAACCACCTCATCCGCCTTGCTCTCCACCGACCTCCTTCGGTTTTGAAACCCAAAATGACAACTCTCAAGCCCGGCGATGCGTTCCCCAGTGACGTTGTCTTCAAGTGAGTCTCGGCAATCCCTCCCCTAGAGGACCCTCACCCCCCTCTCCTCGCACTTCACCCCCATGACAGCTTTGCTGATCATCGTAGGTATATCCCTTGGTCCGAGGAGAGCGGTGACATTACCGCCTGTGGTATCCCGATCAATTACAACGCTTCGCAGGAGTGGGCGAACAAGAAAGTCGTCCTCTTCTCCGTCCCTGGTAGGTTTGGAACAGCTCCCTTCCCAGATTTCCCCGACCACGACGCGACCAGGAGCTGACTGCCGGGTTCCGAAACTCTCAGGTGCTTTCACCCCGACCTGCTCTGTCAACCACATGCCGGGCTACATTAAGAACCTGCCTCAGCTCCGTGAAAAGGGGGTGGATATCGTGGCAGTGGTTGCGTTCAACGATCCCTTTGTGATGAGCGCCTGGGGCAAAGCCAATCAAGTGCGCGGAGATGAGATCGTGAGTAAATACCCCACTGTTTGGGTGTCGCGACCAGTCACTGACAATCTCGGGGTAGCTATTCCTCTCCGACCCTGATGCCAAATTCTCCAAGAGCATTGGTTGGGCCGATGAGGCATCCGGACGTACCGGCCGGTATGCCATAGTCATTGACCACGGCAAGGTCAGCTATGCCCAGATCGAAACTGAGAGGGGCGTAGTGAAGGTGAGGACACAAATTTCTCCTCTCCACAGCTACCGACTAGTCACAGAACAGCTAATTGATACAAACGGTGTGCAGAAATCGGGTGCCGATACTGTTCTCGCGTCGCTCTAGATCGCATTCTTGGAAACGACGTAGATCCTACTCGCAATTGGTCACCAATCGCCAACACTCTGAGCTCTGTTCGTTCATGAATGTCAGTCATTAGACGACTCTATAGATAGAACACCTGATCATCGCAATATACGATACATGCCCATTGAAAAATCAAGTCGCAATGCGAGAACAAGCTCCAGACCCGGGTCAAAGAATGTACAGCATGGGAACAAATCTATATAGGTGGAAACCTCATCCACCGCGCGTGAGAATATTGAGTACATCTCTATAATGCCGCAACCAAAAAGAACGTCCCCAGAAAAAAATCAAAGTGGTATCTTGTCGCCAAATCACATCAAAAACGATCGTCCTCAAAAGGGGCTTAGCTATGCATATGTTGGGAGAAGACGCGGTCGTGGACATGCAACTCAAGCCCAGAAGAGACGCAGTCCACGTGTAAAGTCTCGGCAGCTTGCATGATTTTGGGCTTGATGGTGTTATGGGAGGGTTCGGAGGCCGGAGCGCTGGTGTCACCGGACTCATCGGACGTGGCATTCTGGAAGGACCCCTCAATATCTAACCGTTGGAGGTGAGGGAACCGAGTACGGTGGTTCTTGACCACGGTCTGGAGTTGTGAGACGAGCATGCCAAGATACCGCTCCTCGCATCCTTCGATGTAAAGTGTCTCCAGAGACTGAGGAAGGCAATTCAGCAGCGGGACAGTCGGCTCAGTTTGATATCGAATATCAAGGAGGTTAGGCAGTCGAATGCGGACTTCTCGAAGAGCAATGAAATCGGCCAGGGATCCAAACCATTCATCGTGAGTTTGATTTAGTCCGGCAGCGGTGAAAGGATAGTGATCGCCGTAGTGATCGAGCCATAATGTGTGGAGTGTCTCTTTGCTCCGAGTCAATGAGCGATAGAACGCAGCGGGCTGATAGCCGTGGGAAGCGACGTGCGAATCCGAATGCTGATACTTGAACGATTTCAGATCAGCACACGACGCAGTCAAGGCTTCCATGCCCTGGTTTCCATTGCTGGCACGCAGGTCGATTTCAGTAATGGAAGAAACGCCGAACGCTGATTGTTCCACTTCGTCGGTGTGGGGATTTGATTCTACCGGGTCCGAGGTCGGGTCCACCACCGAGTTGGCAACAATTGTACGCATGGAGGGTAATCGGAAGAACGGTAGTAGGAGAGCTGACGGGGGCTGATGAGAGCCGAAACCGGCGTTCTCCGGGGGTGCAGGATGGTTGAGCTCCTCTCGGCGGTGTAGCGAGACTTTGCATAGATGTTGGAAAGCGGGCTGAGTTTGAAACGGTCTCTCGCCATTGATGGCCCGTTGCAGGGTGCGGTGCAGGCAGGGAGTATGCGCGGAGTATGCAAGGTGAAGCTGTCGGAGCTGGGTCAACAGGGGCAGCATCAGTGCAATCCATGCATCGCCGCGACCTCTTCCAAGATCCTCCTCCCACTGCGACGTCTCGTCATGTGAATGTGATGAGACCTCCACACGATCCCTCAAAGCGTCAGAGCACTTTAGCGCTGCTCGTTCCTCGTCGGAGATGTGTTCTGCCCGCCAGCCGCTGAGGTCGAGCTCGCGAACTGCTCTTGCGAGAGGCAGTCGTTTCGTGGTAGCATGCAGGAAGGAGTAGATGTCGCGCCAGTGATTTAGCCGCGCTGTCCGATAAACAAGGGAAAGAAAGAGGTCATGGAAATGACGGGAGACAAAGATTAGTTGCCGGCGATCTGCATGGTCGTCCAGCTGCTCACCTACCATGAGGAGCACATCGTTCGGTAACGTGAGAGCCATGGTAGTTTGATATGCAGTGGTCTCGAAGAGCTGTTCAAGTGGACTCTCCCACCCGGGCTAGTTATTCTCCATAAAGCATTAGCCAAGCAGAAGAACAACAGAGTTGTCAGCAAAAGGGGGCAATGTCGGGAGGAAATATGAAATCTTCCCTAAAGGCCGAAGTCAAAACCGCGAGGCATCCACCGATAAACGGCTTATCAGTGTGGAGGCAACGGCTTGTTCGCTGGCACGGCGGAACGGCGGCTTCAGAGAGGGCCACCCAGCCCTAACTCGGCCCACTGGTCGGGACTGATCTGGTGCCAGGCATTGGTCAATGCCGATAGAGAATGGAGCCGGTGGACACTTTGGAACACTGTTGGAACTTCGGGACCACTCGAAGCGGACCCTTCGGAGGACTACAGTATGGATGAGTTTTTCGTGCTCCACTATGTGGTCACCAATGTTGCCGCCCTAAATAAAATTGGAGACGGGAAAAGTTCTGGTTTCCAGGACATTCAGGTATGAGTAGTATGGGTAGTATAGATGCCCGAGTCCTGTACTAGATTTACAAGATCGATAATTGATGTTCTATAATCAATAATCTAACAAACTGCCCGAGCGGGCATTAATGTAGTCCTTGCCAGTCCGTCATGATCGGCCAATCTTGTCTGCAGGCTTCCTGCGGCGGGTCTTGGCGGCCAAAACAGTCAAGTCTGCCGAGGGACGGCGGAGACCGCAAATTGGTTGACAGCAGTCTCTGGTACTGTAGGAATATAGGAACATTAATTGTTAATAAGGGGCGGACGGCACAGTGTCGCCAAAAATATGCATTCAGCTTACACATACCTGAATCCTTAATCTGGGTATCTCATGTATGGGGGTTCTAAAAGCTGGCGATGACGCTGCCGCAGAAATCTACGTTTATGACCATCCAATGGGTAAAATACTCAGCACCCCTCGTAGAACCTCGTTTGGTTAATTTAGATCTTCAGACGAGAGATTCTATAGAATAAACTCAGTGATTCATCTCGTCAGAGAGCTAAGGAGACAAAAGGGTTCTAGTAGTAATCCATTCGTCGAAATCATCTATCAAGCACCTCGCTGGCGAACACCTATGCGGAAAGGGCAAGAAGTTCCCGGTCGCTTATCATCTTTAAGAACAGATCGACCGACGTAATTATACCAAAAGGGATCTTAGGCATGGACGTGATTATTTGATCGCGCGGTGTGACGTTTTCTGCGGATAAATGGCTGCGGAGTCGATACCGTGGTCGATCTTCCGAGATGTGGGTTGACGGTGGGCACAGGGGGCGCTGTGACGACGGAAGACATCGAGGTCCGGGGCAAGCCAGTGGACGAGGCCTTAGCTGTTAAATTCTTGGGCGAGCCAGCCGCCTTTGGCGGTGCCCCAAAACCGGGGCACATGGAGGGGAGAGGCATCGTGAGATAGTAGGTGATGTAAGACACGATTAGCAATGGCTGTGACCACCTTTGTACTATCAACCTCGTGACCATATAACATAATATTTTATGTCCGGCCTAGATGGCCTGAGGACAAGTTGTACTTGGGATATGATATACATCCAGCGAGGGCTTTGCTCAGGAATGGATCGCTGTCGTCGCCGGCTTCGGAGGCTTCGACATTCACATTGACTCCAGCGGACGCCACCTTCAGCCAAAATGGTGCTTCTGAGGATCATCTGTGCAGGCCGCCCCCGATGCTGCCGTCAATTAACTGGAGAAATCCACGCTATGTCCGGCTGTTCACTTACACGATGCCACAGTGAGAGTCCCTCCAGCCCAGGGCTCGAGGCCAATCCGGATTTGCAATCCAGTATCTATGAAGATGTCAGCATAGAGGTAATATTTAAAGCTGCCCAATCTCGACTTTTACCCAACACTTCCAATGTCCAACCAATTGTAGCCTTAGCATTGACCTTGATCCCACCACCGATAGAAGCATCAAGTGTAATCGGCTTCTTGGACAGCGTCGGCATCCACCCGCTCGCAGCCACATCAGGCGAGATTAAATCAATTTTCAGTTCTGCGGAGCCTTCAAAGCCAATTTAGTCTCCTAACTCTGGCACCTAACAAAAAGCCGCAACCCCGGATGAAGGTTATTTTCTATATACCTGCTGCAGGCTTTGTGGAAGACTTTTCCATTTTGCTGACCGGTGGATAATCAACTGGACTTGGGCCCTGTGGTACGGTAACCACGGAGCTTAAAGATGACGCTTTTACAAGCGGACTCAGGAACACGAAAGTAAAATGAGGGATCGAGTTAAACTCCGCACCAGACGGCGTAGATTTATTGCTCGTAGTAGGGGTCTTGGCCAGACATCTAGAATTATAGTCACTACATGTATTAATTCCGATGTCCCTTCTTGGAACCAGAGCCGACCATTCAGAGTCGTATGTTTGATCAAGTACTCGTTGACAGCGGTCGCAATTCAGCTAACAATTCCTGTATTGAATCCATCCTTTCAGTTTGGGACTTATTATGACTCCTGCTTGACGTCCCACGAAGCCATTCTCATATAGCACGGATTTAATCACGAACTATCACCATCTCAACTTCCCTGGGAATCTGTAAGGGGAAGTAGAACGGACCCTGAGACAAAAAGGTAACTAATGGGGAACAACAAACCAAAGATCCCCCTCTCTATATAACGAAAAAGAAAAAAGAAAAAAAAAGCTTCAAATCAGACGAAACCCGAACGCAGGCTCACCCAGTCGCGCTGTTGCTCTCGGGACCGATTAGCGTCTTGACCAGCCGTACCCACGATGGGCACCAGCGTGGAGGTGGCGGCGCCCACGGCGCGCCCTAGTCGTTAAGGCGTTCCACCTGGGTGTGAGAGTGGGGCCAATCCCCGCGGCCTTGATCTGCGGGGGGCGCGGCCGCCAGGGGTGTCAGTGGTGCGTCCATGCACGGGAATACCTAGGGTAATCTGGGGGCAGAAGGAGCCTGCCGGGGTTTGGAATGATCATTCAACTACGTGGAGAGCAAAGTTACGGAGAAGTTGTTAATCCGGCCATGATCGGCAATGGCCCGGAGGAATATCGCGGGGCAACCAGTCGGCGTGGGCGTCCAGGATGTCGATGTTGCGTTGTACCAGGGGAAGACATCCCATGCAGTCGCCAGTGCTGCGGTGGCTTGGTAACGGAGATCAGTTGCATCAGGGTCGTTGTCGATCCTATACAAATTGAGGGAGGGAGAGACGGGGCGAGCGCCAGAATGGGCGACAGGGCCGAGCGCGATCAACCTGTGTCGCAAGTAAGGAGTAGCCATTCCGAATCGCCAGAGAGGGTCGTGGTACACCGGGGACGGAGGCCGAAGGATCGAATCCATGCAATAACACAGCACTCCATGCGGACTACCCCGTACTCAACCCTCAACCTGGGGACCGGGCATAGCTGCACACCAAATGCCTGGCGGTTGTGCCCGGAGACTGTCGCGGCCAGGATGCCACACACTCCAGCACCAATCACGGCTGCAGATCGGATGCCGGTATAGCCTTGGGGTTTGGATTTGGGTTTGGGTTTGGGTTTGGGTTTGGGTTTGGGTTTGGGTTTGGGTTTGGGGGGAGGCAAGCGGGGGAAGGTGCCGGTGCTGGTGCTGGTGCCGGTGCTGGTGCTGGTGCTGGTGCTGGAACGACCGTAAAGAAGCAAAGCTTGGGAGGCTTTGCGCGGTCCGGCTGGAGCAAAGCGTGACATTCGAGCGTTGAGAGAAAGTGACAAGCCACTTGACAGCAAGCAACGGCTATTTCACGCCATCCAGCGCCATCCAGCGCCAGGGCCAAAGCCGCCGCCGTCATCAAGAACAAAAACTCCGGATGGTGCACGACGCAAGCTCCTCAAGGCCGCTGCTGAAACAGGCAATTGGGCGCTGATTGGCCGACGCGATGAAACCATGTGGCGTGCCAGTCGACCCTCGAAGTTACATGCGCTCAGACACACTCCCGATCGGCCAGCAACTCTTGACAGACGGTCCACCGACCGTCCACAGCTCGGTTGTTCGCAAGGGCGCCAGGGCCCTCGGGCGGGCTGAGGAGGCGCCGAGGCCGCCTGCTCATTGGCGGCGAAGCGGACCAAGAAGTTTAGTCTCTTAGCGCCGAGTCTCGCAGTGATCTGTCGCTGGCTTTGACGTACCAGGATATATGGGGGATATGCGGAGTGTCTGTGGTGAAGGGTGGGTTCGCTCGATGGTTTCCACCGTACCAGCCTGTGCCATGCCATGTCAGCACGCTGTTTCCCCACGAAATGCCCATTTGGGACCTTGCTGAGACTGCTTGTTTGGCCTTGTTTGGCCTTGTTTGGCCTCGTTTGGCCTTGTTTGGCCTCCACCTGACACATGGCCCTTCCCCGCATCTCCGCAAAGAGCAAGTTAGGGTCTGGTCACTGGACCTCGCAGGGGCCAATGGATCGTGTGTGGATGATGGATCAGGATCAGGGATCCCTCGACTTGCACGGTAACATCACTCTGGCCCTGCACACCCCATTGCTGAAGGCATAGGCGTGTCCGCTCGGACGCTACGTACCGCGTCCTCGGACTCCCACAATGATTCGATGGGATACCGGGGGAGTTACGGTCTCCCTGTTTCCTAGGGTAGCCTCCCCATTACGGTTCGTTCTCCTTTTCTCTCTTTTCTTTTTTCCTGGGGTATCGTCCTTTGTCCCGCCATCGTGCTTGCCGATTGCCGACCGGCTTGTATATAACCCTTTTATTTCTTTCCCTCCTTACCGCTGGCCTTATTGCGTTCCCTCTTTGCCTTTCCCTTCACTCCCTGCCGCCAGGCTGCGTGCACCATCTTCCACACCTCCTGCCCACCCAGTCCATCATGGGCTACGTGATCGGAAACATCTACGTTATCACCACCGTGGCCGTCATTGGCGGTGCACTGTTTGGTTTTGACATTGCGTCTATGTCTGCCATGTACGTCTTTCCCCTACGCCCCCTTTATCCCCCCAAACACTCTCTTCCATCCTGTCCAGACCCATGGACTCGCTAACAGGGTCATCCTCCCCCCTCTTCTGTGTTTCACAGTCTTGGCACCCAACAGTATAAATGCTTCTTCAATCAAACTGGCCGCGGCGATGATGGCTCCTGTGGTGGCCCGACCTCCTCTACCCAGGGTGGGATCTCCGCCGCCATGCCCGGTGGCTCGTTCGTGGGTGCTCTCATATCTGGTATTCTGACCGACTGGCTCGGTCGCCGCTTGGCCATTCAGAGTGGCTCAGTGATTTGGTGCATCGGCAGTGCTATTGTCTGCTCATCCTTCGGTATCGCTCAACTGGTGGTTGGCCGCTTCATCAACGGCGTCTCTGTCGGCATTCTCAGCGCCCAAGTGCCCGTCTATGTCGCAGAACTGGCGCAACCCAGTAAACGTGGTCAGGTGGTCGGCGCACAGCAGTGGGCAATTACCTGGGGCATTTTGATCATGTTCTACATTTCCTATGGCAGCAGCTTCCTGGCCGGCCCCGCCGCCTGGCGTCTGCCCTGGGGTCTGCAGATGATCCCGGCGGTCTTTCTCTTCGGGATGGTCTTCCTGCTCCCGGAAAGTCCTCGTTGGCTGGCCAAGCATGATCGGTGGGAGGAGGCGCACGAGGTGCTGGCCTTGGTGCACTCGAAGGGTGACAAGAATGCCCCCTTTGTGCAGACCGAGCTGCAAGAGATTCGCGAAATGGTGGAGTTTGAGCGCGCGAACTCCGATGCATCCTACCTGGATCTCTTCAAGGGCAACATGATCTTCCGGACCCATATCGGCATGTTCACCCAGATCTGGTCTCAGCTCACCGGAATGAATGTCATGATGCTTTACATCACGTATGTCTTCGGCATGGCCGGTCTGTCGGGCAATGCCAACCTCGTCGCCTCGTCCATTCAGTATGTGATTAACGTGGTGATGACGGTCTTCGCCCTGCTTTTCATCGACCGATGGGGACGACGTACTCCGCTGCTCATCGGCTCAACCCTGATGATGACCTTCATGTTCGCCAATGGTGGGATCATGGCGAGTTACGGCAAGCCGGCCCCAGTAGGCGGACTTAACCATACTCCCGAGCAATCCTGGGACCTGAGCGAGGCCCCCTCCGCCGCCAAGGGGGTGATTGCCTGCACGTATCTGTTTGTGGCCAGCTTTGCCCCTACCTGGGGCCCGGTGAGCTGGATCTACCCACCCGAGCTCTATCCGCTGCGCCTACGTGGTAAGGCTGTGGCCGTGTCAACCGCATCCAATTGGATCTTCAACTTTGCCTTGTCCTACTTTGTCCCCCCGGCGTTTGAGAACATCAAGTGGAAGACCTACCTCGTCTTCGGTGTTTTCTGCTTTGCCATGACGGTGCACGTCTTCTTCTGCTTCCCCGAGACGGCCGGCAAAACCCTGGAAGACGTCGAGACCATGTTCGCCACCCCGGGTCTCAAACCCTGGCAGACCAAAGTTCAGTTCCATCACGTGCGCCAGTTGGAGACGGGTGCTCTCCAGTCGGAGAAATTGGCCGATCTGCATGCGGAGGCCGGGACTCGCTCCACTGAGAAGGAGACTGTTGTGACGCCTCCCAAGGAGTAGAACCTTTGGACTTGCTTCTGGATCTTCCACCGGAGAGCGTTGCTTCTTGACTCGAGAATACCATGTTGAGCTATATCTGCTCTCTTGTACTACTGATCCTGTGATGCACCCTTGGCTTCCACCGGCACAATCCGGTGGCTGACAACGATTTGCTATTTTGGGGGAGCTGTTTGGTGTATCCACTGAACTCTAGAGTTTGAATGATAGTCACCGTGGATACGAATGAAACTGTCTGTTCTAATTACCCAATTTTGGCACTGGATAATGTGTAGTTTGAAACTTTGCCTCAAAACCTGACACTACGAGGAGGTTTTGTGCACGGCGCCCAGCGCAAAATTCGCTGCAGACCGTTAGGTACACATTGCACACACCGGGAAGTTCAGTACCATTCGATTCCTATTTTACCCTCCTCCTTCTTCTCAAATGCTCACTATGAATGCCTCAGAAGGGGAAATTCATTGGTCAGTTCACGATGTCTCCACGTCTCGCTGATCTTCACTGTGGGCTGCCATGACCTAGGGTCCTAGGAGTCAGCACACTTCCCAGCAAGGAACGGATTGGTCGACATCGGCATCCTCTTCAAATGACCCGATCATGCGTGGTTCCACTTTGCCAGATTGTTGAATCCAGGCATCCTGCTCCAGGCATCCCGCTGGCCCTTTTAGCCCCCATTTTAGCTTACGCTCGTATTCTGCGCGACATCGATTCAGCTGGTGATTTGACTGCCATTTCCTGGAACCCCACCACCCCACAAAGCTTTGCCCTAAGCCTTCCCGCATGGGCGCAAGCAAAATCATGGGCTCCTTCGTCAGTCCAAGACGACAGCCGTTGGCTAGAGGTTGCGCCTCTGCCGCACCGTGACGGCGCGTCGACGAATGAATACCGCGACTCCCACCGATCGGCGGTTGAAATGGCTCCGGAATTGGCCATGCGAGATACGGAAGAATTGCTGCTGCAGCTAGAACCTCCTGCTCTGCAAGAGAACGACCCGAGCACACCCCTATACCGCCTCCGAGCGGGCAAAGATGCTGCGCCTTTAGATGGTCCTCTGGGATGGATATTCCATCTTCCCCACTGCAGTCCGTCATCGCCATGGCAAAATATTCCTCTTGTTAGGGGGTAATACTGGAATTGAAGTGAAGGACACCCGGGGGAATAGCGATGATATTCCGCATTTGCACGACGTATCCGTCAATATAAATCGCGAGGGACTATGTGCGCAATGGCGCGAGTGACTGCGAATTTAAGGCCTTCACTCAAGACGGCGTTGGATGAAAGGGTTGGTGCAGACGCCCGCGGAGTGGAAATTGACCCTTTGTGCCGATCGTACCTAGGCATCCACCTTGACCGAGAAGCCATGAAGTACTTCAAGATGACTACAAAAATGGCCGACTAGCTAACTAGGTCAGCATGGGTGTAGTAAGGGCGATAATCGGAGAAATACCCCGGTGATAGACGCCCTTCTGGGAAGTCATATATTGCCATATTGACTGCGTAAGCTTAATACCGATGAATTCGAAGATTTTGCCGTTGAATTCGTGCAGAACACCGCTTTACCAATGGAAGGTGACCTTTCTGGTGTCTATTTGTCGACCGTCGCTCAGAAAATGAATAGACACGCTGATACACGCACTACACCGCGTACCTCTCTTTTCACAATAGCGCGTTGCGTAATTATCAAAACACTACAATTCAGTAGGCAACAACACTTATTATTATGAATGAAGCGAGCTATACAATATATTACGTAGAGTTGAATATTATCAGGGCAAGCTGATACTGTATAGCCTAGTATGCGAAGACGACGAATGATATCAAGCGGAACCAATATAGATGAATAACATTGATTGATTCAGAAGGAAAATAGGGGGGGGAGCGCTGCTATAGACCCCCTTATAAAATAGGCGTATCGCCGATACTCGGCTATTATAAAGCCTAAGTTACTAACTAATCTCTAATTATATACGAAATACTAAACGAGTATAAACCTAGTAGTAACTAATTAGTTACTAGCGGTAAGATATCCCTTTATCTACTAATATACCTCCTTAGTAAAATGTCTATAGATAATTTACTATACTACTTTATCTGATAACCTTAGGTATTCGTTTCTCTGTCTAATAGACGTCTAATATCTTCTATACTAAACTATCTAACGAATTCGGTATACTTCTATCGAGGTAATAGCTTCGTTAGACCGTTAGCTACTATATCCGATATCTTAATCTACTATACTAGTATATATTTAGCCTAAACTTCTTACTATAGCTAGTATTAGTAAATATTAATATATCGGAGCTTTATATATAGCTAAAGTAATTCGCCTATTAATAGGTTAATAGTCTACTAGTTATTATATTATAGGATGATAGGGTAACTAGGAGTAAATATAATAGCTATAAATAGATAATTCTATATATATAGAGACTTACTAGTATCTAATATTACTAGTAATTTAGTCTTAGTAGTACTTATTATTACTATCTTCTACTTCGTAGTCTTCTAGTCTACTAGTCCTCTATATATTAGATAGATATAGCCCGATAAGCTCTTCCGGTTATAGTTATCCCTATATAATATATTACTAAAGAACTATATAGTAATTAGGTCTAAATTAGGTAGCTTTCGATAGTAGACTACTTTTATCTATATATAGTAGAGGTAAGTAATAACCTAGTTAATTATATTAATATAATTAAGAGAAGGGTTCGATAGGAACTAAGTGAGATATAAAATAGCTTTTACTACGTCTAGCTAGGTAATTATCGTAGTATATTACGCTAAGCCGATCTTAGTAAAGAATTTATACCTTTATTTATTAGTAGCTACTTCGCTATATAGTTTTAGATTAGCGATAGAAACTAGAGGGACTTTAAGGTATTTTCTAGTTATTAAATAATACTTATTAGCTATAGTAAAGATATAGATATCCTAGTAGAGCTATAATTTACCCTATCAATAATCTCTTATAATATATATACCTAGAAATTACTACGCTTTACCTATCGAGCGAAGCTCTTAGGTCTCTCTAAGGCTTTTAGCTATATTTATAGCTTCCTAATATATAGATAGGTAGTTAAAGATAAGAATATTATTAATATAGAAGATAATAATAATTCTATCTATAGTAAATAGGTAGATATCTTTATAAATAACCCTAAAGCCTAGCGCTATTAAGACTCTTAATATTTCTTATTACTAGAGTCTTAGTAATTTCCTTAGGCTATATAGGCCTTTTAAGAGTTTCTAATACTTTATTTTTTATATTAGGGAGTATAGACTAGGAGGAAGTTCTATATATACTTCTTTATTAATCTAGTTATTAAGGAATATATTAATAGTATTATATTAAATAGTATTAAGATTAAAAGCTACTATAAGAGTAAGGATAGCTCTAGCTATCTAAATAGCTAATATTACTAAATATTTCTTTTTAGTCGATATCTTTTAGAGATCTCTTTTTATATATATCCTAGCTTTATATTTAACTAATGAGATAACGGGAGTGTAAGAGCATGTTCTGTTATTATCGTAAGCGAATGTGTCTATAAGGACATAAGTGCGGTCAAACATGGCAGAAGGTATCCGTAAGGGGCCGAACATATAAGGTTAAAGGAAGATAAAGTACGCCTAGGATTATATCCTCCCCCACTTAATAAGACTCGACCCGAGTCTACCGTGCAAAATCAGTCCTTATCGGACCCGAAAGTGTACTAGCACACATAAATATATACGTAGATAAAAGAAAAGTAGCCGGTCGCGGCTAAACTATGGTTAAACTGTAGTGTGAAAGTACCCTACTAAACTACCTAGGGTACCTATCCGTAGGTAACCCGACGTATTATATAATACCCTAGTAGTTACGGAGGTGTTATATAACGTATTAGCACGTAGAAATACCCCCTATAGTAGATAAACGTAAATAGAGGTAACATTTCCGTTTTCGGATATAAAAGGACGTATCAGCTAAAAATATCAATAAAGATATAGCGTATTAGGTAAATAAACGGCTTAAATAACGGCCTAAGGCTAGTAGGCGCCCTAAGGCTGTCTACGTATCCGATATAAATATTATCAGATCCCCTACCGTCTACCGTCGCTCGTTAACGCCTATCTCATCTACCCTACGTAAGTTTCTATTAATTTCATCGGTTATCTATCTCTAAATACACTAGAATCAGCTACCCTAATATATTCGGCTACTAGATACCTTAGGGAGAGCCTTCCTAACGTATACGGCTAGCAGATACCGCAGGGATAGCTTTTCTAACGTATATAGCTATTAGGTACTCTAGGAATAGCCTTCCTATAGTGTACTACTATTAGGCACTTCCAGAAACAGCCTTCTTACTACGCCCTACTATTAGCACTTTAGAAATAGCCTTACTAATACTTCTATAACTAGGTTCCCTCCGAAGTATCTTTTCGGTCGTAATTATAGCCGATCCTTCCCCGACTCCTACCGCCGCTAGTAATAATAATTAGCCTTCTAACGCTACCGGCTCTACCGGCCCCCCTACCCCTAGGGACCCTTCGCTTCTTTTCGTGCTCGATAAGCTAGAAAAAGACCTAGTTATAGCTCCCGTTTAAGCTATACCTATTACTATAGCTCCCGTTTAGGCTATACCCCTTACTATAGCTCCTGTTATCGCTACTATTTCTCCTATCCCTATCGCTATTATAATTCCTACCGCCCCCGTCCCCTCTATTCCGGTCTCGAACCCTCCCGCTTAGGTTAAAGGGCTAAATAACTATAGTAATCCGGACATTTCCCTTTTTTATACTACGCTTAATCTAGCGCTTTTAAAGTAGCCTACCTAATAGAATATAGACTAGCGTAGGGGAAAGCCTAAGAACTATACTACGCCCTCCTAAATACGCTCTACCTTCGTTTAGTAGATCGGGTTCGTAGCCGAATAGGCCTATAAGTAATACGTAAATAGGTATAGACCGTTCGTAACCTACGTTATTAATATTACGGACAAGAAAGGTACCTTTAAACCGACTTTTAATAGGTCCTACGCCTACTATAATTTTAATATAGCTAGTAATTACTATAGCTTCCGGTAGCCTAGTTAGATGCTACCGAAATTTATCTTATAGCCCCTAAAAGACCTAAACCCTTACTACCCTACGTTAAAGTATCCTAATAAAGGTAGTCCGGGTAAGTCTAGTAAGGGTAAATACGCCCGTAAAGCTCTTACGGACTCCGATATAGAGGAAATTAAGGCTCTCCCTCCTAAACGGGTAGTTTCTGCTAGGCCCTCGACCCTAACTCGTAAGTATATAGACTATATTTACTAGAAATACCTTAAACTCCTCTATACTTATATAGAGTTTATAACTAAAAGGATCCTAACTAACTCTTCTACGTCTAGTAGGACCCGCTCCGCTATCGCTACCCCCCGTAAAGGTACTTCTAGTACTAGTAGTATATTATATATTACTATCCCGGCGCCTAGTACCGTATCCGTTCGGGTATATATATCTACGATCTCTAATAAAAGGAAGGATAAGGCCCCGGAGACTTCCTAGACTAGACCTTCCGCGGCCGATATTAGCCCGGCTATTATCCCGAACCTGTCCTTCTATAATCCTTAGCTCGTTCTGCCTACCGATAATCTATATATATAGGTAACTACTACGGACGATAACTTTACCGTTACCTATATAGCCTATTAGTCTATTCTTAGTATAATCGAGGCCCTATAGAAGTGCCGATGTAAGATAAAGGGCCCTTTAGAGAAGTTCGGCTAGTTAGATACTCCCGTTCCTTTTCTTATCGAGTCTAAGGAGAAGGAAGAGGAGGGTATAAAGAATCCCTATCTCTCGGACTAAGGTAGCTTCTAGCGTTCGGGGGCGTTCGGATAGGGATACCTAATATATTATTTTTCGGCGGCCGATATAGCCTTTTTATTAAATTTTCTCGATCGATAGTACCTATTTACTAGTAAATAGCTCCGATCTTTCGTAATTATTTACGAATTAAATATACTTTTTAAGAATTTTCTTTTCTAGGTAACTGTAGCTTCTAGCCGTAGGCTTATATATATAATCTTATTCTTAAAAGGACTATAAATATAATTTAGCTTTTATAGAGGTAACTAAAGCGACTAGTCCGAA